GACCACTCAACTTCACAGTTTAATACTTTAATTTTGTCTAAGTCAGTCAGTCTAGTCATGGCATTTCGGCTCTTAGTAAATAAAATTGCCTCCGTCTTTTGCGGATTTATCTTGATCTGCCATTTGTCAGTATATTTCGTCAGCTTGTCTATGTGTGTCTGTATCTTTGTAGTCAGTAGCGTCGGTGATCGTGATGATTTGTATATGGCAGTGTCGTCAGCAAACGTCAGTAAGGTGGTGTCGGCGTCAGTGGGTATGTCGTGAATGTAGACGTTAAACAGTGACGGTCCCAGGATCGAGCCCTGCGGTACTCCCGCCGTCACTTGTTTAACCGTCGAAAGTCCGTTGTCTACTTGTACGGTAAAGTTACGGTCTGAGAGGTATGAGTGTAATGTTCTTGTAATGTATGGTGGAAAATTCAGTTGTATGAGTTTATGTATAAGTCCGTCCATCCAGATGGTGTCAAACGCCTTCTCGAAATCAAGCAACACCAATCCGGTATGGTTTCGTCTGTTAAAATTGAGAACAGTATTTTCTATGAGTTTTGTCAGTGGGTGTAGTGTGGAGTGTCGTTCTTTGAAGCCGTATTGTGTGTCAGGTATGATTTTGTTGTGTCTTATGTGTTTGTTAAGTCTTTTGAGTAGTACCTTTTCGGCTACCTTACTCATTGTGTTGAGGAGGCTGATCGGTCTGTAGTTCTGTGGTATGTCTGGCTGTTTCCTTGGCTTCACTATTGGAAATATGGTGGAGGTTTTCCAAGAAGCGGGAAAGCAGCCTTTTGTCATTATTCTATTTATTATCCGGGTAAGTAAAATGTAGGCGTTCGTCGGCAGTTGTTTAAGTATTATGTTTTGTAGTCCGTCCGGTCCCGGTGCTTTTCTGTTCGGTAATTTTTTAACTATTGTCTTTATTTCAGAAACTGTGGCAGGGTCTATTCGTAAGTCTTTGTCCCTGTGGAGGTCAGTGAAGTTTTGAATTGTCTCGTGTACGTCTTGTTTCAGGTCTGCGTTTGACATATTGGCATTTTGTTTATGTATGTTTTCAAAGTTTTTTGCCAATATTTCCGCCTTGTCTGCTGGTGTCGTTGCGTAATTGTTGTCAGTTAATTTGAGTGGAGGTATGGATGTTGGTTTTTGCGTCAGTCTTTTTGCTGTCTGCCAAATTTTGTGTGGGTCAGTATTTATGTTCTCGAGTCTTTTGGTCCAAGTGTTGTTTCGGTGATCACGTATTTCATTGGAAATAATTTTTGTCAGTCTGTTCACATGTTCCTTGAGTAGTCTGTCACCGGTACGTTGCCACAGTTTCTTTATATGATTTTTAAGTTGTATTTTCAATAAAATGTGTTCTGGCAAGTCGTTGGCTGGTGTTGTTCTTGAGTCTAGTGTCGGTATAGTCTGTTGTACGGCGTCTGTGATTGTCAGTGTAAGGTGTGTTACAGCCTCCTCAATGTCAGTGTTGGTATCGATTGGCATAGTGTGTCGTGTGTTGTCTGTGATGATGTCTCTGAAAATTGGCCAGTTGGCTCTGGTGTAATCTAAAAATTTGCGTGTGGGGGTCTGGTCGACGTCTAGTCTGTCTGAAATGGTCATGAAAACTGGATTATGGTCAGAGTTGAAAAGTGTTCTTGTTATGGGTTCGGATGTTACGTGTAGATTTTTTGTCAATGCCAAATCGATCGTACTGTGATGGTGCGTCTGTACGGTGGCGTATCTGGTCGGCGTGTCAGGAAAGTGTAGTTGTGCGTCTGTGGTGTTGTATTCGGTCAGGTATTCGTAAAGTCTGTTTCCGTTTGCGTTGTTGAAGTTACAGTTCCAAGTTGTGTGTTGTGCGTTAAAGTCTCCTGCCATAAGAACAAATCTATTCGAGTCCAGTAGTCTTTGTAAGTCCGTATGTTCTAGTCTGCTTGCCGGGATGTAAATCGATATTATGGTTACTTTTTGACCTCTCTTGTATACATTAATAGCTGTTATTTCAGAACCGCCCGCTGTCAGGTTTGGCACTTGCTCGTGTCTGATGTTAGACTTAATCAAAATCGCAGTGCCGCCCCATCCGCGTGCGTCGGTCTGTCTGTCGTTTCTGTAAACTTTGTAATTGTTGATATAGAGTCTGTCCGTAGGTTTTAGGTGTGTCTCGTTAATCAGTACTATGTCCAGATCGTATTTTGTTATCGTCTGTCTCAGTTCGTCAACGTTGTTTTAAGTCCATTTGAATTGAAATGCATTATTTGTAAGTCTTGCGATTGGTTTATGGTGATGAAGTAAGAAAGTTCAAAATTGTTGTGTATTTGTCGTTATAAGTCATGTTTGTGTTAAGTGTTTTTGTCAGTTTGTATAGCTCACTGAAAATTTGCTTTACCTGGGGATCCGTAAATAGCTTCCTGATCTCGCCCATAGCAGTAAAGAGTCCTTCCGGAGTGTTGAGGTCTGGATCGGGTTGGCTGCAGGCAGGCCGTGTTGGTGGTTGCGATAGTGCAGGCCGGATCTGTGATGATGCAGGCTGGACCATTGTTCGTGAGGACTGGACCATTGATCTGTATGGTGACGATGGGATAGGGAGTTGAGGATATTCAGGTCGGACGTTAGGACCATTGTTGGTGGAGTTTACAGCTGACGAGAAGCTCCTCGTCAGTGGCACTGGTGTTGGTGCTGGCCTATACGCTTGTCTTCTCCTGAGAGCGTCGCTTTCCTTCTTTTCTTTGTAATTAATAAGAGCGCTGCATTTGGAATAATTTGCCGGGTGTTCGCTTTTGCAATTGACACACATCGGTGCCTCATGTGGTAGTTTTTGGCACGCTCCTGGTGCGTGCACATTGAGGCACTTTATACACCTGTACTTTAGGTCACAGGTGTACGATGTGTGACCAAAGTTCAAACATTTGTGGCACTGCAGCGCTCTATTCTGCGGCCTATAGGCCTCCCAGGAGAAGATATGTCCCCCAATATTCGTAATTCGTTTTAGCTCCGACATATTCTGGTCTTTATCGAGGAGAACAATGTATATAGGTAATTTGTGTTGACCACCATCTGAGGTTTTCCTCTTTATCTGCACTACTTGCCTGGCTTTAATCCCTTTTGACAGGAGATCTTCAAGAACCTCCGCCTCTGTAATTGATGGATGTAGACCGGTTATGGTTATTTTCTTCGGCATTTCCTCTTTGATTGTGTAGGTATAAAATTGATAATTGCAGTCCCTTAACATGTCTTTGATTTTTTCGTGTTCTATAGCGGTGTCAGTGAAAATTTTGTGTAGGTTATTATGAAGGTATTGATATTTAAAATTAATTTTAGATGTTTCTCTTAATATTTAATTGCTTTTAAATCTATTTGACCTTTTATGATAATCGGTGGGATTTTTGCCTCTTTCATGGTGGTGTTCTTGGGTGTCACGGTTTGGACGCCTGAGGTAGATGGTTCCGACCTAGTAATGGTTTTCTCAGGCTCCTTGTTCTTTTTCGCCCTCTTTCGGCGTGTTACTTTCCTGTAGTCCTCACTCTCCCTATCAGTATCCATATCTGTACGGTCCGTGAGCGCATCATATTTATTTTTTAGTGCAGTACTTGTCTGCACGTCCATCTTCTGATTTATGTTCGACATCTTGAATTTTTTCCCAGGCCTCTGCCCGGGAATTATTCTGTTTCCTGAAGAGTTTTGCGCACTGATTTTAAAATTTATTAAAAATGATATAAAAAGACTTCACAATTTTGAAAAAGAAAAACACTTGCTAATGGGTGCTTACTTCCTCCCCATTAGCAACCCCAATCCGGGGTTTGGGAAGAAAAGTATGCAAAAGGCACGTTCACCTTTAAAATTTTGACAGATATAATAATATATATCCAACTTGTAAGTATTAAGCCCGGTGCCTTTAAAAAGGCAAGATTTAGAATCAATTCCGGACTTAATACTTATTTCACAAAAACACTGACACTTCACTGAAAAACAAATGAAATTCTCAAATAGTAATTATATTATTAGAATATGATATATTCATGGTATTGTGCTATGCTATGATATATTCATGGTATTGTGATATTGATAGATGATATCCTAGACAATATTAGAATACCCCGTATTCATGATGATAATTCATGGATGATTTTTTTGTTATAAAGACAAGAATAACAAAAGTTGATATTTAATCTTAATGACCTACTTTTATCGTATTGTATTCATTTTCAAAATGGATTATGGATTTTACCATTAACATTGAATTCACAAACTCTCAAGTCATACATCACCTATCTTAGTCAAAATAGATATATTTCGAATTCAAATAACACACATATTAATAATTTATACACAATAATATTAAATAATACACAATAATAATAAATTGTCCACAATAAATACTTTGCAATGATCTCCATATCTCAATGAATTTATAAATAAAAAAATAAAAAGATTGATTCTTTATCTTATCATAGGATTCTTTATCTTGTTATAGGAAAAGATATTGCTGGAAGTAAAATGTTCTATTTCTTCCAAGATAGGTCAACTGTGATAGAATTAAAATTTATATCAAAACTTTTATCAAAAACTCTTTTTCTATCTTCTTTGAAATCCTAGTAGATTGTATTTAATATAAGTACACAATTAAGTGATTTAATTAAAGTTTACACAAATTTAAAACAATTGTCTGTAAAAAATATAAATATACAAATATTTTGAATAATCTTAATTTATTATCTGTAAATTATTGTTAATTAAAATATTTTATATAATATAAAATTATAAATAATAATATTTAACATCAGTTTTAGTTTAAAAGAAATTGACTTGTTTTTTATTTCAACCTTTTGAACCACATGGATAAAATTTCTAAATATTTCATTCATAACCCCTAAACATGTCTTATTAAAATTGTTAAAAGAAAATAAAATAATTTTTGAACACTTAAGATTTAGCATATATCCATCATAAGCAATACATATATGATAATTTCATAAAATATTTCAACAATTTTGTATAGTGCACAAGAAATATTTCATCTATGGTATTATACGGTTCTCTTGGAATAAATTATGACAGAAATAAAAAAATATATTTATCATATTTTTCTTGCATATACTTGTAGATATAATATGTCCGCATGCTTCTTACACAATGTCCTTTTAATACAGTTTTATCTTTATAATTCACAATAAACTAACTTTTTTTTACTTAGTATCCTTGAAATTCAGAACTCTTCAAACATAATTTAGGCCATCAATGAAAATTGTTCTGGTATTCCTGGTCAGTGTTATCCGTACTGCCTTCAGTATGTATATCTGTTGGAGATGCTAAGCCAGAAAATACCTCTCTCTCACCAACTGCGAGAGGATCAGGTGGAACAGCTCCCAATGATGTATCCATAGGAAAACCTTTGGAATCATTGCAAAGGTTAACTGCTGGTGAACAACTTCTATCCCGCATGACCGCATCTTGTTCTTCAAGAAATCTATCCATATAATCGGTCAAACCAGGATGAAGAGTATATTTTTTCTTTTCCAATCTTGATTTATTAGCAAATACATCATGGCGTTCTGTCTTTTTCCACAGATAGTAAAATTGAACCAATTCACCTACAGATCTTGTTCGAACCTAAAATAATAAAAAAAAATAATAATAATTCTCAATAAATTATAATTAAGATAGGTTTAAAAATAAACTAGCCTTATTTTGTTGAATCTCATGGAAGTTCTTCCCAAACATTCTTAAACCATTTTCAAAATTTTTACATTCTTCCTCTGACCACAAACTCATAGTGTCCACGGAAGCGACACAGTTAATTCTAATCCTTCGGAGAGCCTCATCAGTACTGTGACCACATTGTTGCAGCAGAAACAAAGCTTGTTCATCATCTTTTAATTGATTTCCGAGAGGTAAGAGACCAACAGTAATCGGGCAGACATCTTTACTTTCAAAAGATATGATTCAATAGCTTCTTGAGATAAATGAGATGGGTCCCAGAGTAGTTTATCATCATTCTCATAAGGTAAAGCATCATCGTAACTACAAAGTCCCTCTGGGATTGAAGCTTGATAGTCGCTACCTACCATAATTGTCTGAAAATGATAAAAAATCAGTTGAAAAATCTTAATAAAGGATTATTTTGTAGTTAATAGTGCTGAATATTTGAACTCGTATTAGTATAATAGTTTATTTATTATTTATTAGTAAAAAGATTATTACCTTCTTCCATTCTTCTTCATCAGGACTGTAGTCATAGTCTTCATCTTCTTCCTCACTTTGTGGCCGAGAAAGAGCTGAAACACCAAAATATATTGGTTGATTTTTTTTAATATTATAAAATGATTAACTTAGAAAAATGGCTATAGAAATGATTAATATGTTCATAATAGTAGTCTAAAATCTTATTATTACATCGTAAAAGCCGTGATGTACCAACTGCTTCTTCATTAGGTACAGGATCATAAAGTTGTTTTAATGCTGAGTGATCATCTGATGCCATATCTAGTTGATCTTCTCCTCCTGATTCACTAGGAGCTCTAGAAGCGCCTTCGTCTTCTGTTTCAGGAACAGCATTTTCATTGTCATTCTCATTTTCATTTTCATTTTCGTTTTCATTCTCAATCTCATTTCCGTATCCATACATTTCTAACAATTGCGATAAAGGCATTTCACTTTCCTAAAATGTGACTAAGGTCAAATATCACAGTAAAACTATGAACAAAAGAAATTGAAAAATTAGATACAATATTTTTATATATAATAATCAATAATCTATTGACTTTGATCCTCTTTTTTTTTAATAATTCAGTATACTGTACTTATAGTTACCTTTTGTAAACTAGTTAACTCCGTAGTTGAGTCCTCAGATTCACCAGCTGCGAGTGCTTCTTCTTCTTCAAGTGTTCTTTCATCATCAAAATCATTTACCATCATTTCAATTGACGGGTCAAAAAGAGTATCTTTGACTCTTCCATTTTTTGTTGATTGCGCTGTATTCGTATTTCCGTTTGAAAGTGTTGCGCATTCTGCCATGTCCTGAAGAATCTATAGACATAATTAAATTCTTGTTATTGCTAAATTCTGTAAACTGATCAATTTTATTTTTCAAACCCTATTATTTATAGAATATTTTGTTTTATTAGTGTCACGAATCTTGCTCCAGAATTTAAAATTATTTAATATTATTTTTTCAAATGTAAATATATTAGATGCATCATTTATACCAAAGATATATTCCAAGGGTGACGAAATAAACATATATATGACTTATTAGAATAACAAATATATATTATAAACCCAATGATTACATGTATATATTCACCCAATGTAAATATCAATATTTTCGTTCAATTTGCAAACAGCAATCAGCTTTCGTCAATTTTATCACCAAACTAATAATCGAACACTTAACTAATAGCATTTTATGAAACACGAAATCAAAATTCATTTGTTTAATTTCTTCCAAACAAAAAAAATACCTGTCAACTAAACGTACGTGGTTATAAATGCTTTCGTAAAATATTTTTGAGCATTATATGTAGAGTTTTTTGCGAGAAATTAAAACTTTATCAAAATGTATAATAAAAAAACTGGGTAATGCCATGTTTATTTAATAATTTCACATAAATAACATCACTAAAATTATTGCATTCTATTTGCAATTTGTTCGACATTTTCTATTCAAGAACTATTTACAGAGTGACCATATAAACGAATTGATAATCAACTTCTGTTGGTGGTACTTCTGATAATGCGTATACGAGATTTAAATATTAAGCGGCAGAACTAGAATATTGAAAATTAATAAATGCTTAAATTTTATTCAATGAGTATAAATGTTAAAATATTGCAAAATTTTCATGAAATATAAAGAAATAAAGAATAAAAACCTATTGGCTCAGCTTAGTACTAATCGATTAATTCAAATTTCAACAAAGTCAAAAAGCAATGATTAAATTATAAATATTTATTTGATATTTTTATATACAATTTTAGGGCCTGATTATAATATATATACACATACATACATATACAATTATTCATACATAAAGAACAAAATTATATTTTAATATACAATATTATATACATTTCAATACTTATTCGCATATGTATTTTATAGACTAATTCATACAATTACAATAATGTGATTCATGTCATATTTTAAAATTAACAGTTCTGTAAAATTCATGTAACTCAATATTATCACTATCATAAATAATTCAAACAGCTAATTTAACATAGTATGCCTATCATAAATATTTCTCCTCTGCTCTCTAACTTGTCTTTTCCATTTATCTTGTTGATGTGTTACACGATTTAAAACATTTCCTCGCACACCCATTTGATGAGAATTCAAATTATTTGTGGTTGCAGTCTCATCCTGAAATATAAAAGATTCCTTAATATTTGACTGTATTTACAAAACAATAGCTAATGTGGTGAACTCAATCACAAAAATTAGTAAAAGTGAAAGTGTGTATGAGAGCAACATGAAACAAATAAAAATGAATGGAATTTATTTACAATAATTATTTACAAGCAAATTACAAAAATAATAGAAAGATTAGCACAGAATAGTAAAAAAAATCTTACAAAATATAAGAGACTATTGATTAACATTCAGCGATTTATCAAATAATTACACATTCACACATACATACATATATAAATAACAAAAAAATAAAAATTGATTAATCTTTGGTACATTGGAGAATTATATGTTACAATGTCATAATAAGCATTACAAGTATACTAAAATTAGCAATAGAATTATTTTAAGTACTCCTGAAGTATTCCTTAAGTAATTAAAATATATTTATCATAAAACTTGCGCAAAATTTTTGACTGGGATGTTCAGGATGATTAAACCAATTCATAACTTTTAAGATCAATTGAAAAACAGGAATAAAATATCATATTCTGTTATGAAATAATAAAATTAAATTTGCCAGAATTTAATTTAAATTGATTTAAAATTATTGTATATAAATATAAAACTATGAACAAAATATATGCTGATTGTTAGGAATTTTCAATATACCAAAGTTTATGAATAAGTTGAGTTTTAGGAAATAATAGACTATTTACTTCTTCGTTTGTGTGCTCTTGATAATTAGCTTTTGCTCGTTTATTTAATAATGGGTCGAGGCAAATTAAGAACAGCATGTATACTACTAGCAACGATATTATCCAAATCACCATAATCACCACAAACTGAAAAATAAATGTATGAAAAATTATAAAATATATATGACAGATGCGCTGATCTTTGATCATATTTCTGAAATAAATAATTCATATTTCAAAACTAATTTGCTCTTTGCTATAAAAATATATTAATTTGTAATACTGTGTAAATTAATAAAATAATATACCCGAATAACTGTTGTATTTCTAGTCTCATATTTACATTCACATCTTGGACAAAACTCTTGTTCTTTTCCTTTAATTTCATCTCCAATTCTAGGTAATATTACGCCATCACAATTGCTAAAATACATCGAATTACATCAACATTAACATAGATGGTGTTAAGTTAATCGGTTAACAGTAGCTAATTAATAATGTAAAATTTCATATATAATGACAATTTATTAATAAGATTATATGCTTACCACATATTTGGAGGAACATTGCTAATGTATAATTTTCGATCTGTACCTTGTGTATTGTTCAAGACTGATTTTGTACTTGGACAAACACATCTACACCTTTTATCTTCGTATGATTGTGCCTGTAAATAATAATTGATAATAATTTAGTAGTTCATGGGCTCAGTTATTAAAAACAGTGATATAATTAATATAAAAGATTTTTACTCACATCTGTCAAAGAGATGTAGCAATATATAAGAACGTCACAAAAAGCAAACAAGTCTTATACATTATGCCCAATAAATAGATATCTTAACAGGAAACAGAATTTTAAGTTATGAATAAAAAAATAAATAAACGGCCCCCCTCAGATTTTATTAAAACTCATTTAATGCAAACATTTGACACATTCACTGTCTGTATCCACCATTTTACTTTTCAATGTATTAGTTTATTGTTGAAATAGGTGGTTTTCTTTATCTATTTGCTGATATGCTGACACAATCGAATAAATTTGCTTACGTTCATAAAAAACGTGGTACTATTGTAATGTTTTAATTCTATTTAGCATTGTATTATCAATATTAACTATTAAAAATTCTTCAAAATTAAAAAGAACATAATGGAGTTTGGTGATTTTTCAACTGTTCCTGAAAGACGTGTGGCTCTGATCACTGGTATTACTGGACAGGTAAAACTTAAACTATGTATAGTGTAAAAATTAAGATAAGTTTTCAAGTTAAAATTTTAAATCAAAATTCAGTTTTGTAATAATTTGTAAACAATGGCTATTTAGCATATATTATAGAGTAATTACTCATTTTGTATGCAGAGTGCAGTAGCGTCTTATTGATAATTAAGAAGCGCGATTTTCAAAACTCTAAGAGGAAAAGATTTACACGTGTACATTTTTTTATTAAAGGATAATTTTTCACAAGAATTGATATTGAATTCAAATAAATTTTAAATGTTATAGAATACATGAATAAATCTTTTATGATAATCAATATTATTTTATTATTCAAGGATATTTAGTAAGGAATAAAGTGAATAAATTTCAAATATTCTCAACATGCACATAAGAGTTATCATAAAGATAATCATTAATTATTAAATATTGGAAACTAATTCTTAAGTATTCTAAAATTCATCAGCTTATTCACATTACTCACAAATCACTATACATTACCTCAGTTTTTGGACAAATTTATCTTTTATCTCAGGATGGATCATACCTCGCTGAATTTCTGCTCAGCAAAGGCTACGAAGTTCATGGAATAATCAGAAGAGCCAGTACTTTCAATACTGTTCGAATTCAACATTTGTATGCTGATCCAAAAACTCACAAACAAGGAAAAATGAAATTGCATTATGGTGATATGACCGACAGCTCTTGTTTAGTTAAAATCATAGCTGAAGTTAAACCTACCGAAATTTATAATTTGGCTGCTCAAAGCCACGTCAAGGTATAATAGTTCAGATTATATTTGATTTACCCTGAGTAAGCTTTGCAGTTTGCAAAGCGTAGTAATAATCGGGTGTTGCACTTTCTTTCTCATCTTTTTATTATATTCTTTATTATAAAAACTTTTAAAAATTCAATTTATATAAGTTATCTACAATTTTCCATTTTTCTCTTTACAAAGGTTTCATTCGATTTAAGTGAATACACAGCAGAAGTGGACGCAGTCGGGTGTCTGCGCCTCCTGGACGCAATAAGAACCTGTGGTATGCAGAATTATGTTCGTTTTTACCAAGCTAGTACTAGCGAATTATATGGAAAAGTAGTTGAAACACCACAAACTGAAAAAACACCTTTTTATCCACGATCTCCTTATGGTAATTGAATTAGTTTTGTAAGAACCAATATAGTTTCTAAGATAATTTTAAATTCTGATAATTTTTTGATAGCTTGCGCAAAATTGTATGGATATTGGATTGTTGTAAACTATAGAGAAGCTTACAATATGTTTGCTTGCAATGGTATCTTATTCAACCATGAATCACCACGAAGAGGAGAAAATTTTGTAACTAGAAAAATTACTAGGTATAAGTCTAAATAATTGTATTATTTATTTTAATATTATATCAATTAATAGGGGTTCACAATATTTTGCTTTTATGCTTATTATTTTTCTGATTATTCCTTTAGATCGGTAGCCAAAATCCATTTAGGCCAACTAGAATTCTTTGAATTAGGCAATTTGGATTCCCAAAGAGATTGGGGTCATGCAAAAGACTATGTTGAAGCCATGTGGCTAATGTTACAACGATCTACACCAGAAGATTATGTTATTGCAACTGGCCACACTCGTAGTGTTAGGGAATTTGTAGAAGCTAGTTTCAGGTATTATATAAAAATAATAAAATATTGTTATATAAAAATAAAAATAAATATATATTTTATTCTTAGGCATATTGGAGTAACAATAACATGGAGAGGAAAAGGCTTAGAAGAACAAGGTGTCGATGAAAACACTGGTATCGTCCGTGTTAAAGTTAATGAAAAATATTTCCGGCCTACAGAAGTGGTAAAATCTTATAATTTCAATATGTTATTAAGATTTCTTAGCAATTAATAGTAATAACTGTTACAAAACAATATTTTTTAGGATCTTTTACTTGGAGATGCCTCAAAAGCAAAGAAAGAATTAGGTTGGGCGCCTAAAATTTCATTTGAAGAGCTAGTCGAAGATATGATGACCTCCGATATTGAACTTATGAAGAAAAATCCTTTAGCTTAAACATTCCAATAAATAAAATGTGCAATAATACAAAATAATAAATATTTCTATATCGAATATTGCTGATATATACATAAATATATATAAATTAAATATGATTTATATTTATATACTAATTTTATTGATAATGCATATTATAGTATTAATATTTATATTATTACATTTGTACCTCAATAAGAACAATATTTTAGAGGTGTAATTTTTGTAATGTAGTCAACTCGTTAAGAAAATTATATTAATATCAACAGAATAAATACCTTGAGCTTAAATGTCATGGTATACACATATTGTGAAATAAAAATTTGTTTGATTATTCTCTAGCCAATTTAGCCTTTTGCTTTGCTAACTTCTTCTTTGAAATTTTCTTCCTCTTGGCAGGCTCTTTATCTAAAACTTGAGTGATCGCTCTTTCTTTTTCAATGAGACAAACTTCGATATTACAAGGGGAAGATAAATAAGGATTTATTCTACCATGAGCTCTATATGTTCTGCGTCTCATGCATGGGGCTCTATTCACCTAAAGTATAAGATATATTTATGATATAATACTTTAAATAAGTACACCTATTCTCGAACAATTGTACCTGGATATGATCTATGACTAAGCGATCCACATCCAAACCCTTAAAGTCAGCATTCGATTCTGCATTACTCAATAATTGCAGCAGGAATACGGCTGATTTTTTAGGCCAACGACCTATAGTTGTTTTAAAAGTCTTGGCCTGTCCACATCTGCTAATACCACCAACAAATTTACGAAATGGGACACATTCTTTGTGGTTAATCACATTCTTCAAATAACAAACAGCTCGCTGAAGTTTCATCTTTCGAAGTGCTTTAGCTGTTTCTAAAGTGTTCTAAAAAATAATATGAAATTTAATAATTGACCACTGAAAAAGTAAGTAAAGGTAAACCATCTCTAGTTTTTTTATAATTAATACTGCAATTACAAAACTCAACAATTTCCCAACACCTTAAAATCATAATTAAATAATAATTAAATAATTGAAACAAAATGGCTGCATTGAGAAATATGTGAACGTATAATTTCCAATGACTTATTGTTTAATAGTTATGAAATGAATACTGAGATGTGAGTAATATACAAATAATATTATTTACAATCGCAATAATATATTAAGTTTTCCCTTCAAATACGTGTAAAAAATTTAATTTTCTGAACGAAAATAATTTATTTTAGCCTTAAATATACAATGAAAATTTATTTGCGCAATGTATACCTTAAAATGAACACGGAGTTCCGATCCTCTAGCTTTGCAGGATTTGCAAGGATCCTCTGGTTCTCTCGAGTATTTTCCCATTTTGGAAAAGAATTCTCAGTGAAATATTCAATATTTTAGGACAAATAAAATTCGTGCAGCTTTTACAAAACACCAATTCGAGCCAACTTTGATAAACAGTAGACGGCGTTAAGGGTTGATGTTGTGATAATATGTTGGCAAACCTTACGACGCTGGTGAAGTTTGGTTCAGGATGCCGGGCATTTCCTTAAGTATTTTCATTTTTGAAATAAAACTAAATGAAAAATATTGTATATTTTGAATATATTTTTTTAAGAGAAACAAGATTCAAACAGCGTTTATAGAGCATCAATTTGAGCCAACTTGAATAACCAATAAACAACGTTATAAATTTGATGCTTATGTTAACGTTGGCAAATCCTATGACCCTGGTGAAGTTTGTTGTTGTTTGGTATCTTCAGGCCGGGCCGGATTAATTATGTTCCCAGTTTCAAGTGACACTTGATACGTTTAATTCAATGCAGATGAATTATAATAAATACAGGAGAATTAATTGTATTCGCAATTGATATTCATAATTATAGTTGAATTTATTGAATTGACAATTAAGGTATGTTACTTTAATTTATTTTATTTTTTGGTTCAAGTATTATTTTTATTGAAGAGTAAAACGTTTATGTACCCTAATTGTGCAACAAGTATGGCCGTTTTATGGCAAGTTAATTTTACAGTGCTTATTGTAAATTATATAATTAATTATAAAAAAAATATAGAGGTGTTTTTTACGTAAATAGTAAAAATAGTAATGTGTAAAAATTTTACTATTTTTTTGCCAAGTGAAGCTTGAAAAATCAGCTACACTATTATGCAAATTAGTTGTAACACAACGCAGATGTCTAGTTTAAATGTGAACATAAAACTTTTCGCTTTGTGTATTTTGTTAAAGAACCATTTTACGATCTTTACAAAGAAAACTATTCCTTGAATTTTTTTATGATTTTTCTTTTAAAACAATCAAATTTCAAATACCCACTAAATTAGCCGCTGACATTGTCGGTGTGTGTTCCGCGAGGCGCGAACTTCAAAAACAAAAAAACTAATATAACGACCGATTTAACGATCTAAACGCCTTTTTACGATTTGTATTTTCTTTGTACCGTGTTATATTTTAATTCCACACATACATGTGTTTAAATTAGATGCAAAAGATCTAGGAAAATAAAAGAGATTGAATTTTATTTATTATTTGTAACAGTATGTGTTTAAATGTGTTTATTTCATTGGGAAATAATAAAACAGACCACACGTAACTTGTACTTATTTACATTTGAGTTTAACTCAACTATAGAGAATCTTTTTTATTAAATTTTAATGCATTTTGTTCATATGAATGCCAATTTAATATTTTATTATAAAAATTCCTTATTTAAAATATTTTATTCTAGATACCACGAAGAGAAAAAAACTCGAGATTTGGAGCTGTGATGCAAAGGAATTGATATAGCTATTACGCTTTTTTTCTTACTGGAATGCCTATTATATTCCTAAGGAAACTACTCTATAAGAACAATTATACTATTTTAACAAGTTGTTTTAGTTGCAATTGTTGCAGATGTTTTAGTAGCATTTTAGAATAAGTAGGTAAGTTGTTAAAACAACACTTTAACATAATATAGAAAATGTATCTAAAAAGAACTGTATCTGTATGAAAGTAGAAACTTTAATATGGATAAATAGGTGAAATGAATTATACTAATTCTACTACAATATATTTTCTGAAAACTAAGTTTTTGTAGTAACATTAGAATATATTTAATATAATATAGTAATGATATGTCTATATGTATTAGAAAACTCCCATTTCAAAGATGTAAATTTGATTTCAGCAAATCTTAGAGTAAACTGAAATCTATTGGTCTACAGAAACCATAAAAACGAGAAGGCGGGACCGAGCTAAAAATATATTTCATTTAACCAGTGAAAGGATGATCAAATGGACCAATAGAATATTCAATGGAACATCATCATATTAGCAAAAATACATTGAAATAAATGATGATGGTAATTGTCTATTGTTACAACAAAAGCCATTGATTGTGAAAGCCAACGACTTTGTAAATATAAGGGTAAGAATAGTTTAATAACTGCATATTCGATGAGTAAAAAGAGAAAATTTAAAGTAAAAGATTATTGAGTAAAAAGTGAAAATTTATAGTCAGATTCTTTCAAAGTATAGTTATATAATTCTTGGAAAATTTCTGATGCACGGTCATCATCAAGATGTAGAATTTGAAACCTACGATCTGAAAAACATAAGTACATGTACAAGAGGAAACTATAGTTCTCTTATATAAAAGGAACTTTTGAAGCCAAACGCGTATTAAGTACAAAATCAAATTTTTATTTACACATAACTGATATGATTGAGAAAGATGTTTCAAATAAAATTTCACGGACTATGTCTGAGTCTGATACCTATAATTCACAATTTTAAAGCATTTCTAAACCTAACTACCATGTTAACTATGTTGTTCTTAGATCAAGACAACTTGAGCTAAAATATATAAATGTTTATTTACTTAAAAAACGCTTTTCCAATTTTATAGCTCCAAAAACATCTTTGGTACTGGGAACTAGTTACTGTACAAGAATCTGCCAACGTTAAATAAATACGTTTGGGCACGTACTGGAATTACTCAATAGAAAAATAAATAAGGCTCGTACTTGGCTCCAGATTTTGTTAAATAAATAAATTAATTTTGTTAAATAATTTTTTGAAGATTTAAATAATTTTCAATTCAAATATTGTAGCCAATAACTACAGAATTGAATCTGCACTTAAGATATTATTTTTCCAATTTTTAATTGTTGAAGCAAATGACCCATCATATTATTATATTGCAATATAATATAAATATATAAATGCAATATAACTGCAAAATAAATGCAATATAACCTAGACATGTCTAGGTGACCCATATTCCAATTTTTAATCTTAGGAACATGGTTATCAAAATCCTTTGAACGTTGATTTAGGTCGTTGATATTTTTAAAACTCTTTGAGATCTGTCAATGCATCAATAGTGCTTAAGTTTTATTATTTCCGTTTGAAGTTTTTACTCTCTACATTTCCACGAATCTAAAATTATATACAAATTTACATACAAATATGTGTATGTATATACATATAAATAATTCTTTAGCAAAAATGTCAGATATGTGCACAATACAAATATAACGAATTGTTGAATTATATTCGATACTTTGATCAATTATCACAATTTTAATATACATCTCCAGATTTACAGATTTTTATTAACCTTGCAATTTGAAATAATTCATATAAACAAATGTATATATATATATATATATATATATATATATATATATCAGAATTTATTTAAATAAACATTTAAGTATACGAATATATACACAAATAAAAACTTGTTAGGCACATGTGAATGGCAGTTATGTAAACATGATTTTCACTTCAAAGAAAAGTATAAATGTTCGATAATATTTATAAATATATACGTTTCAATACCAAGCAAATATTTAATAAACATAACACGTGCATATATATCCTACATATATACATATCACTTGATAATCTTCGGAGTAAACACATGTTATGATTTGTTAAATGATCTTTTTATATTTGTTTATTTTAAACTCAAAATGTTTTTAAGTTTTTTATATATACAATCCTCTTTGTACATTCACTATGAATTTTTCGAG